ATATAAATGTAGGACCTATTATATTTGTAGCATCAAAAGCTAAAGTTAACATAATGCTGTTGGCTAAAGGGACAGGGACTTAAACCCACAGCTATGGTGTTTTCTCAGCCTCAGATATATCCCACGCCAATTTCTTTCTCCAGCAGAGAAAAAAGTTTTTCCCTATTTCAGTCAAACCAATAAGTCTGTAACTGCTTCCATCCCAGTTGGTAGGTGACAGAATTTAACAGCCACTCACTTCTGGTGTTAGTGATCCATGCTTTGCTTTTGAAGGACCTGGCCCCTGCCGTAGAATTTGGACACAGCCAATGACTGGAGCTGGATAAGCTGAGAAGGCAGCAACTTTTTTTCTGTTTGCATATGCATACTGTAGATAAATTTCATAGTAAACTGATGGAAAATCCTGGAACATGGAAGATGGAAGACCATGCATGCAAGGCAAGCTCCTGCTAGCTCTGCTTGTACTGCTGTGAGATCATTTGCAATCTGTGTTTCATGTGGAAATACAGCTAGCATTAGCAAGTAAATGAGCGTCAGTGATTTATCATCCTAACAGATGAGTTTCATCATGTTAACCACCTCGGTCTGTGATGTACAGAAGATGTTGTTAACTTCTACAGTAGCAAGAAAAGCTCATCATGGTGGAGAGGGGACTGCTGCTCTGACCATGACTGGTCTGATAAAATAAGAAAGTTGACAAGTTGCAGCCTTGGCCACCACTCAGATTAGCATGAAGTGAGAAAACGTCTGAATGTGACACGTGTAACCAGCTATTTTGCCAACATCCACCTTAATTTTTCATTCATATTTTAATTCCCCATACATATTGACAGTTTACCATGTCACACGCTGCTCAAGCCTTTTAATTAAATTTTTTAAAATGACCATTACCACCACTTGTCATTTTTATTAATAACAAAATCTGTTTTTTTTAACTATCAAAATAATAGAGTCAGGCAGTTTAAATGGTAAGTTTTGATCTGATCCCATTTATCTTGTCAAATAGATAAACTGTGGAAGAAGAGGTCCATGTGAGGTCCATCACTGTACAACAATGTTGTGATATGTCTCCCTAAAAATGGTAGACAAGAAACAGATTGCTCCTCATACATGACTCCAAATCCCATATTGCAACAATACAACTTTGTAATGCAAGCTTGATGAACTCACTATGGCATCTTTAAGCTTCTTCCTGTTTTGTGATGAGTGAAGGTTACCTTTATATATATATAAAACAGATAACACAGGCATAATCCAGCACAACTGAGAGAGGCTTTGTTAAAAGTACAGAGGGCGTCGTCTCCCAAATCCAAAATGTGAGCTGGTTCTAACAGAAGAGGGCCCTGAAAGCAGTGCTGGACTGGTAATCTGACATATCGGGCATTTGTCCGGTGGGCTGACATTGGCCTTTCAATTGACCCAAAAGTGTGTCAAGTCCTGACAACAACCCGTTTATTTTCATTACTGATACTGTATTGTGCCCATTCAAATCTCTTAATACAATCAGGCCCTCCCGTATCCTTGCTGTGTGCTCACACAGCTTTTAGAAGAGAAGTTTAGTGTGGAAGAAGTTGTGAAAAGGTGAAGCTACAAAGTTAAAAAGAAACTAAAAAGAAATACAGCAAAATGTGTCAACATTTTA